GTCTGGGAACGGCAGACCGAACATCTTGACTCGGCGAGCGAACGAGCGCTGAGCAACCTCGATATCGAAAGAGATCGGTTGATGGACTTCGGAGAGTTCGTGGAGGCCTCTAATCTAGAACGGCGGTACGCGACAGACCTTTATGGCCACGTCGACTACGCGAGGTGGATCCCTAAGCACGTAAAGGTTGTCACTCAGATTGGAGAACGCTATGGCTGTTGGATGGTAGCTCTCCGCTATCATCTATACATTCGGTCCTCTGTATTCCGCCGACAAGAATCTGATTCAGCGGATGAAGAGTTAGATAAATTGAGGAAGAAGAAGAAGAACGTGTCTTACACTTACGTCTCTCTTCCGGATGGTCACCAACCAGGGATCGAAGCGGTGGCGAAATGGCACGCGGAGCTGGCTGGTGATTTGGTATATGGATCGATGAATCCATACGCTCAGGGTGGCCCGAAGTTTGGCTATAGTTTCAGAACCGGGAAAGAGAAACCCCGTCCAGCCATCAAAGCGACGGTGCCCGCCGAACAGTCGAGCGCGAACGGAAACTCTGAGCACTGGAAGTCCAGAAGAAGGACCCGGGGGAAGGGTTCAAAACCTTCTTATCAAGGCGAGTCCAAAGCAGGTGGTGGTAGCTACACCCCTTTCCATAAGAGCAGCAATGTGACGAATCGTGAGTTCAGACTGTAATCTGCCGTCCCTTTTTAGACTCCTTACTCACGCAAGGTTCGCTCTCCCGACTTGGACGCACACGCGCTGATTCCTACCCACAGATGCACAGACTTCGGAGGCCCGAGCACAGGCACAGACGTCAGCTCAAGGAGCGGTGCAGAAACCGGCATATGTCCCGGCGAAGGTGACGCCAGCCCAAACAAAGTGAGCTAACGCAACACGCGCTAAAAGAAGTTTTAAAAACAGAAACTGACTAGTTTTACATTCTCAACCATGCTGAATCTTGCGGTCAATCGCTCCGTGACACCCGAATGTTTTTGCTTTACTCCGGTGGCCTGTGTCCGTTCTGGGGGGGGTGGAATTCTTTGATTGTTTCTTGTTCTCTTCGTTGAAATCTTTACTTGTGTATTGGTACGCGTCCAGAAAATGATTGTCTCGTACTGAAATATGTTGTCGGGTGGTTGAGAAGGAACTACGATCTGAGTTTGGTTTTGTTCCCATATTCTCTCTCTTGCTGGCGTCTTCGTGATGTGGATTTAGCAAAGTGAGTCCGTGGTAGATGCAGCTTTGACTCCAGTCTTGGCGGTTTCTCAGGAACCAGGCAAGAGTCGGTCGAGCAACGGAAAAAGAACTACCGACACAGATTCAGAGTCAGATTCTCAGTCAGAGGAAGAAGAACCCGATGAGAGAAAATCAAAGATCTTACCTTTGAACCAGCGAAAGATATACACGGTGCCAGTCACTAACATGTGGCCTGCAAGAGTCCGCTGTGACATGGTCATCCCGATGTGGTCCGCCTTGATGAAGGAAGTTGGCCTGGATGAAGACATCCCCTACATAATCAACGGGTTCAGGGAGGGCTTCTGTTTAGGGATCCCTCAACACGAGATAGAAGGTTTGGAATGGTACACACCTCCGAACCACGAGTCAGCCAGGGAAGCAAGAAGCGAGATAGAAGCTACAATCTGGAAAGAAGCTCAAGCTAAGAGATTGATCGGCCCCTTCTCGAGAGAGCAAATCCGAGAGAAATTTGGGTTCTTTCGAACAAACCCGATGGGAGCCGCGATCAATGGGGATGGATCCGTCAGGTTAATAAACGACCTGTCGTTTCCTAAGAACAATCCATCGATTCCGTCAGTGAATTCTTTCGTGGACAAGCGGAACTATGAAACCCAGTGGGACGACTTCAATCGGGTAGCACTGTTCTTACAAGAAAACCCGGGACACTGGATGGTGGCGATTTTCGATTGGGCAAAAGCGTACCGGCAGCTGCCGTTACACCCTTCCCAAAGACGATTTCTATGCCTGTTAGACTTCTATGACAGGGTGTGGATCGATCTAGCCGTGGGCTTTGGCGGAGTAGCCAGCTGCGGGGTATTCGGCGCCCCGGCAGATGTCTGGAAAGTCGTCATCTCGGTCTTGTTGAAGCTCATCGTATTCCGGTGGGTGGACGACAACCTCATTTTCAAGAGGCCCAGTGATGAGGTATCGCTGGAGGACGTCTCGAGATTGAGCGCCGAAATGGGGGTGAAGTCTAACCCTAAGAAGAACCAGGAGTTCGCGGATGAACAGCGTTATCTCGGGTTCATCTGGAATGGAAAGGACCATTCCGTCAGATTACCGGAGGAAAAAGTGGAGGAAAGACTTGCCTTGATAAGAGAGTTGTTG